TATGCAAAAATAAAAATGTCTATTTCACATCATGTGAAAGCAAAGGCCATAGAAAATTGTAAAAAAAAAAAAAAAAAAAAAAAAAAAAAAAAAAAGAAAACACAAAACTCTACTCTGCCCTCTGCCACTACCTCTACCTCCTAACTGAGCTGCTGCTTCACGGCTGCGTTTTTGGCATTGACTTTATGTGTGTAAATATGAAAAAATGTCATTTTATTGCCACAATGCGTCGAAATTTTGTGAGAATTTATTGCGAATACGCCGCGCTGTACAATAAATATGCGTTTAAATGCGAAGCGCGTGTGTGTGCGTGCGTACGCGTGAGAGTGTGTTAGTGTATTTGCTGAGAATTGTTGGTACAGTGGTGTAGACACAGCTGTCATTGAGCTAAAAACGCCCCAGTGTAAACTGAGTGCAACATCTGCAGAATGATGTATAAACATTGATCGTATCGAGCCAACGAAATGCATAAAATAAATTATTATTAACCATAAACCCGGCTGTAACGGCTCAACCAGGTGAGAACTAGACGATATCTACAGTAGAAATTTAATATTATTGTTTTTTTTTTTATTAAAATATAGAAATATGAAAAATAACTGCAATTCTATAATGTGAAATCATTAATTACTATATCTTTTCTTGCAGTGTAGTTGGCTTTATCAGCGCGTCGAATTCATTTTGATAAGTTCGCATTAGTTCCGCCAGATGGCGTAAGCGTCAAAGTGCTCGCATCGTACTCGAAACAGGTGAGTGGAAGTGAAAAGTAGTTGGCAGCTGATTTACAGTTAGTTGGGCCTTGGAACGAGATAGATAGCTCTCTGATTGATATTGAAGAACGATGTTCATTCGGCTCGAACTTCAGTTACTAATAACTTATCAGGCAATAAAAAAAAAAACGAAAATGAAAATGAGTTAGAAAAAGTTGCAATTAGATTAATGGACATCGATGCCACGCAATTGCAGTTGACTCGACGTGTCTGGCCGCTCGGGCCCGAAACCATTCTGAATCATAGCCTCCCAGCAGCACAACGTATTGGCCATGGCCTTAAAGAAGCGCCAGGTGAAGCGGCTGATGCGCAAGCTCATCTTCCTCATAATGATCATCGCCTTCATCTCGCTGCTGACCACGGTGATTGTGGAGAAGCGCCTGAGCAAAGCGAAGCCATCGGAGGAGGTGGACGAAAGTAATTTGGATCCCAATGGGGATCCAATAACGCCACAATTCCGTGCCGCCAATGTGGAGCCGACACGTCGACAAGCCCGTCCGCCCTTTCAGGATCGCAACTCTGTGCGCGATGGTGGGCACGTTGAGCCAGTGGAGACGACCAAGCCGGAGACATTGAAAATGTTTACGCTGCCAACGCCGCTGGGCGAGCGCAAGGACTGGCACGACTACAAGGCAATGGAAGCGGACAAGGCGCGCGTCGGCCTGGGTGAACACGGCCAGCCGGCCAGCGTGGATCCGTCGGAGAAGGAGCTGGAGCAGCAGGAGTACCGCAGGAATGGCTTCAATGGCTACCTCTCCGACCGAATCTCGGTGAATCGCTCCGTGCCCGATGTGCGAAAAGAGGCGTAAGCTCAGGTCGAATGCATTCGTGCTTCACTTACTCAGATCTTCTCTGCTTTTATTTTCTCTTCCGGCAGTTGCAAGACGCGCAAATATCTGGCCAAGCTGCCCAGCGTCAGCGTCATCTTCATATTCTACAACGAACACTTCCAGACGCTGCTCCGCTCCATTTACAGCATCGTCAATCGCACGCCGCCCGAGCTGCTCAAGCAGATTGTGCTCGTCGACGATGGCAGTGAATGGGACACGCTCAAGAAACAATTGGATGACTATGTCGCCCTACAGTGGCCCAAATTGGTGGACGTCGTCCACAATCCCGAGCGACGTGGCCTGATCGGAGCACGCTTAGCGGGCGCCAAGGTGGCCACCGGTGAGGTTATGGTCTTCTTTGACTCGCACATTGAGGTCAATTATAATTGGGTAAGTCAGGGGAACTTGATGACAGTGAACTGAGATGAAAAGGGGAGAACGTGAGTGGGAGAGAGAAGCAAGAAGAAGGAGAGAGGAAGCGAGAGAAAGTGATAGGGCCTGTAAGAGAGAATCAGGCAGAGGACAGTGATGATGATGAAAAGAGCAAAAAGGGTTTCAAATTTGAGTGAAGGAGAGAGGGAGAGAGTAATAGAGTAATAGAGAGAGTGTAAACGGCAATGAGAGAGAGAAAGTGAAAGTGAAGTCGGTTAAAAAACAGAGAAAAAGAGAGATAGAGAGATGGATAATGAGAGGATGAGATGGAGATAGACAAAGGCGATAAGAAAGAGATCTCTCTTTCGTGAAAAAGGATGCGAGGAAGGGAGAGAATCAGGCAGCTCAGATCTAGAGATGATAGTTAACTAAGATGGATATAGCTAGAGCGAGAGTAAAAGAGAGAGTAAAATGGTATAAGAGAGGAAGTGAAAGAGAGAACGAGAGAGAGTGAGATAGAAGGAAAGAGTGAAGCGGGCTGATATGAAGCGAGCATGAGAATCAGGCAGAAGAAAGCCCTGCATTGAAAACATTTGAATACAGCTGAAAGTGAAGGGGGCAAAACTATAATAATACTATAATGAAAAATATAATAAATAATATAAGAATTATTGCTATTATTATATTGCAAAATGAAACTTGAGTAAGAAAGTAACTTAAGTAATCTCAAGCTTTAGTTAAAGCAGGTGCAAGCTAAGATAAGAACTAATTTTCTGCAGTTCCATCAAAGCGCATTTAATAGTTTTAAAAGCCTTATCAATGCTTTCTTATTAGTTAAGCTAACAAACTGTAATATCAGCTGAAAAAGTGAAGCTTTGAACAGTCATTCATTTACAAAGAAGCTTAAAAGCTGTAAAGCTTCAATTTATTTAAATTTCGGCAGGTTTTGATTACTACAGTAAAGCCCACTTGAGCCAGATGAGTCCACAGATTTAGTTGGCAAATAACATATCAACATATCAACATAAGATCTCAATTCTCATTCCAGCTGCCACCGCTCTTAGAGCCCATTGTCATCAACAACAAGATCGCCACGTGCCCCATTGTGGACATCATTGATCACAATAATTTCGCCTATAATGGCGGCTATCAGGAGGGCTCACGAGGCGGCTTTGATTGGCGTTTCTTCTACAAGCAGCTGCCGGTGCTGCCCGAGGATAGCGTGGACAAATCTCTGCCGTATCGCAGTCCCGTCATGATGGGCGGCCTATTCGCGATCAATAGCAAGTGGTTTTGGGATCTGGGTGGCTACGACGATGAGCTGGAGATTTGGGGTGGCGAGCAGTACGAGCTGAGCTTCAAGATCTGGATGTGCGGCGGCATGCTGCTCGATGTGCCCTGCTCTCGCGTCGCGCACATCTTTCGCGGCCAAATGGATCCGCGACCCAATCCACGCAATTACAACTTTGTGGCGCGGGTAAATTGAATAATGAACTGGAGCGCAATTCATGCTGAATTTGGCTAATCAATGCAATCGATTCTAGAATCACAAACGTGTCGCTGAGGTCTGGATGGATGAGTACAAGGAGTTCGTCTATAAGCGCGATCCTGCGACCTACGATAATATCGATGCGGGTGATTTGACGCGGCAGCGCGCGGTGCGCGAGCGTTTGCAGTGCAAATCCTTTGACTGGTACATGAAGGAGGTGGCGCCCGATTTTCTGGTCAAATTCCCGCCAGTGGAGCCGCCCGCCTACGCCTCGGGCACCGTGGAGAGCCTGGCCTTCAAGGACCAGTGCCTGGACTGCTTGAATCTGGGCTCCAACCATCCCGTCGGCCTGTACGTCTGCGCCCACAATCGCACCCATCCGCAAGAGAACCAAAACTGGGCGCTCACTGCCCATCGCGAGCTGCGACGCTTGGACGACGCCTGCCTGGATGTGCAGGACTCGCACCCGAATGCCACAGTCTGGATGTGGGACTGCCACCATCAGGGTGGCAATCAGTTCTGGTACTACGATCGCAAGCACCAATGGCTGGTCCATGGCCATCACGGCAGGAACTGCCTCGAGGCCTTTGTCGAGAATGGCGTCTCGAAGGTGGTGACCAATCGATGCGATGAGCACAATGAGCGGCAGCGCTGGAGGATCGGTCAAGTCAATGACGATCTGCTCGATCGTTTCTTTGAGGGCTTGGACAAGAACTAATTCGAAACGAATAATCTTGGATTCCTGTTGACTTTAGCAGGAGATTTCCTATATTAATTTAAACCTATTTAAAATAGCAACTAAATAAAGTCAAAGTCAGATTTCTAAGCACGGTAAAACCTCAATGCG